TCTGCGAAAAAAAGTCAACTGCAAGATAAAAATGTGGAACTGACATACAGTTGGAACTACAAGATAAACAGTCGCAGTTTTATTTTTTATCATTAGCATTTTTTAATCCTGTGATGGAAACAGTATTGTTGGAATCACTTTCAGAGCTTGTTTTTCTCCAGCTGATGAACAATAAAATCACAGACAGCCAATCAGATCTATCTTTAGCCAATCAGATCTATCTTTAGCCAATCAGATCTATCTTTAGCCATCAGATCTATCTTTAGCCAATCAGATTATCTTTAGCCAATCAGATCTATCTTTAGCCAATCAGATTATCTTTAGCCAATCAGATCTATCTTTAGCCAATCAGATTATCTTTAGCCAATCAGATCTATCTTTAGCCAATCAGATTATCTTTAAAGTTATCGTTCTTGGATGGATTAATGTATTATTCATTTTTTCCTTTAGATATTATAAAATAGAAGAATCAACACATTTTACTTATCAAAATATTTTCACAGTTAGCATTGTTCATGTGGTCACCCCTTAACTATCACCGTCCCACCTGTGGGACGCTTGGCGCTCTTTTTGTTGTTGTCCTTTTTCTCTATCAAATCTTTTAGTAATCATCATAAATTATATATCATTTGAAAGCTTAGAAGTCCAAGATTCATCCTGTGAAAACCATTTTGTCGGTCGTTGCCAATCGGACATTGCGTTACCATGGAAATGGTACTTTAAAATCTTTTGGCGGTCTCCTCCCCCTTAGTGGGCGGTGTCAAGTGTCATATTACAAAATGCATTACGGTCTTTTAGAATCAAACCTTTTTATAATCTTGACAAGAAACAAATCATTGGAAAGGTCTGAATCTCAGGATTCCATATAGAAGCAATATTGACAGAGAAATCTAGACATTTGTGACAGAAAAATGCATAAAACAAATTCAATGGAGTTTGGATGGCACCGGGTGGCTGTTTGTGGTATAACGCTCTAAATAAAATCTCACAGGAACCTCAATTTTTTTCATATCAACTTCAAATTTGGAACATAACTTATTTAGACAAGGCTTTAATTTTATACCAATTTTAGAGTAAAACCTGTTATGTAAAATATTTATTATATATAAAATACAATGAGTTTAGTCCATTTTATTTACAGTAAATGTAAACTTCTATAACTTTTTGATACTTTAATTTTTTGAAAAAATTCCACTTTTGCTTCTTTAAAAAGAGACCAACCTTAAGTCTGTATTCCAAATTGTTCATAAATTACAACAATTTAACATTTGTACATTGAAGGGGTGCATACAACATATTTGTCCACCGGCAAATATAGTTGCCGCACATTCAAATACGATTTTCAAGAAAAAAAAAAAAAAACCTGGGGAAATAAATGCAGAACATGTTCACATAGGACACTATTAACATGACTATATGCATGAATTAAAAAATGGGGGGTGACAGTTAAGGGGTTAATAACTCGCACTGAAGAGAAAGGAAAAGACGAGATAAAAATAATTAGAATATAGTGACTATGACTTTACATATGAACCATGGGTAAGTTGTTCATCACTAGTGGTGCCTGTTGACATGCAGGTGTTATGATACCTAATGATGACATGCTGAGGAATAGCTAGTGGACCAATGTTTAACTAAATCAGTGACTTGCATTAGGAGAAAAGGCATTTCTATTTTGACAACAGAATTTCATTTTGGGTCTTTCAATGGCTAGAGTGCAGTGTCAGGAAAACGTCTTTACCTAGTAAAAAATACTTTTTTTTGTTTGTTTATTTTCTCTCTTTCTCCTGTAATATAGAGTCTGCTGGTAAAATGAACAAAAAAAATGGTGCACCTTTCATTTAGGAATAGTGCGACCAAATTAGAGTTTCTATGTATAAGCAGCATGTTTTCTTTTGCATTGAAGGAGCTATGAATTGTGCTCCGTGGCAGAATTCTACAGGGAACATTTTACATGAAGATGTTACACGCAACGGCCAATGAAGTTCATTCTATTCCTCCTTTTTCTCCAGAGGGTGTGTTGACCTTCCACTCAAATTAACACAACGTTTACAAAAGTACTGGATTTAAATGGGCAGGGCAGAGAAGATATTATTCCATTTCAACCCGTTCACTCTCATCTCATTCGCCACTGTACATTTACAGCCGATGTATGGTATCCATGGCGACCACGTCTTTAAATTCCAAAACCTCTTAATTTACACATCGTATCTTATTGAAATACTCTTATTGATATATAGATATATATATATAAATGAGAAGTTTTGATATTTCATTACTTTGACCCAGAATTAATTGTTAAAGTTGATGCAAAGACTCGTCTTGTCTAAGGAGGATACAGTATGTCTCTATTCAGATGTGGAGTAACAAGATTGTGTTTCAGGTTGAAAGACATAGAGACAGTAGATTAACCTGTTTATGGTGTTACAGACAGGAGTTTTTGAGTTCATTGGGTCTTTGATCCTTTTGCCTCAGGCATCTGCATGCAGCTTGAGTGGAAATACATTGCTTGTGATCCAGTTATAGGATACTGGAACTCAAATTCCAGCTAAAGTGTGCCGATATAGATTATTACGATTATATGTGCTGTCACATGGGGAAATACATGCATTGCCTAACCAAACTAATATACAATCCATGATTCCTAGTTTAATACTTATCTAATGTGTACTGCAGGAGTGACTGAACCTGCTCCTCTAGGACCATTTTCCAGCAGAGTTTAGCTCCAGCCCTGAATTAAACACAGCTAATCAAGATCTTCAGGAACACTAAACTTGGAGCTAAAGTGGCCCGAAACCAAGGATCCTTCAAACTGGAATGGCCTTTGATGCCGCTTTCAGACAGACCATGGTAATATGTTAAATGAAATAAAAGATTTCCTGTTTATTATCTATTTAACATCATCATTAACATCCTATCATTTAAAAAGAACATGCAAATAATAAAATGTCAAACAATATAATGAATACATACCCAGAAAAAGGTCATCTGTTGTATAATATAGAAGGCTGAGGTAGTGCTAACACCAGTGTAAATTCCTGTTCCAGTTCCAGTTTGCAGATTCACATTTTAAATGTAATATATATATATATATATATATATATATCAGCTCAGTGCAACTCCTCACTAAAAACCACCTCTAGATCACTATTTCAGGTCATTAACATTTTGATGTTTTTCTGTTTTTGATTTCGTCTTTTGGATTCTCAGTTATTCAAACACTGCTTTTTATCCTACTAAACACCTCAGGTAGCTGCTCTGAATGTGCTGGGAAAAGATTTAAAGCCTCAAAGTGTTGGCAACAGTGTCATCTGGTGGCTATAAATATTACTAGATGGATATACTTGTTTTGAGGGAATATATAGTGTATGGACACAAAGGCACGTTTAGGGTAGATACTTAGCATGTGAATCAGCATTAGTGCAGGGGTGTACAATACTTGAGTAATTTTACTTGATTACTGTACTTAACCCTTTGATGCACAAGCTATGAAAACCCCTTCTAATGCACAACATGGGTCTAAAATGACCCGTATTCATTTCCTATGTTATTTCATGCTTTGCTGGGCATTTTTTTTGTTTTATCGTCTGAAATCAGTTTATTTCAGCATTCAATATTCCCTGATCTATAAATTCCATGATCCATGAATATTCAAAAATATATTTTTACAATGACCACACATTAATATTTAATTTTTTCCCTAGGTTTTGTGTTACTACATCAAAAATGACCCATCTATGCAAGCATGAAAAAACTAAAGAATAAAGACATGTTTTAAACTCATGCAGTGACTTCAAGAAAGCAGATGCACTGTTTGTTGCAATTGAATTAATGGCCAGGTTTTACGGACAGGTACACTACCAGTCAACAGTTTTTGAACAGTAAGATTTTTAATGTTTTTTAAAGAAGACTTTCCATTGATCAAAGAAACCTGAAAAAATTCTACTCTGCTGTTTTCAACATAATAATAATAATAATAATAATAATAATAAATGTTTTTTTTTGCAGCAGCAGCAGCAGCAAATCAGAATAATAGGATCATGTGACTGGAGTAATGATGCTAAACATTCAGCTTTGAAATCACAGGAATAAATTACATTTTAAAATATATTTATTGAAATATTTTTTTACTATTTAAAATAACTGCTTTCTATTTGAATATAGATTTTAAAATGTAATTTATTCCTGTGATCAAAGCATCATTACTCCAGTCTTCAGTGTCACATGATCCTTCAGAAATCATTCTAATATGCTGATTTGCTGCTCAAGAAACGTTTCATTATTATTATCAAATTTAAAAACATTATTATCAATGAAATCACAGGAATAAATTACATTTTAAAATATATTTATTTTAAATAGTACAAATATTTCACCACGATACTGTTTTTGCTGTACTTTGGATCAAATAAGCTCAGGCTTGGTGAGCAGAAGAGACTTCTTTAACAACACATTAAAAATCTTACTGTTCTATATATAATATATGTATATATTTTTTTTAATTCAAGTTTTTATTGCTATTTGGAAGGTGAATGGGTAACAAGAGTACAACATCACAATGACAATAATAATACAGGGTTACAGATTTCTACATGCACAGTTGCAACATTAGAGAAAGTACAATCAAGACATATCACCAAGTGTTAATCTACTCATTCTGAGTTGTTACTGTAATATACTGTATGTCCAGAACTCTTCCCAAGGAGACAGCTCATCCTCTTTCACACCATTTACTCTATTAAGCGTAGATTCGTAAGAAGCAATTTCTATCATTGCATCTTGAAATATTTTTAAGGTTAATTTCGGGCAACCACAGCTGTGTCATGTAGAGAGAACACTAATTTAGGCTACTCCATCAGCCCTCAGTCATTCTTAATCGGTGTGTGACAAACCTCCGACAGGAGAGGGCGAGATTTCATCAAAAACAGTCAACAGGTGAGACAACGCGTCCAAAATCGAAGTGTGCTGGCGGGTCGGAGCATGTCGATCTCGCCCTCTAGTGCCACTAATGGACCGCCTTCACACGCCTTCAGCTCCAGAATCAGGAGAGAGATTGCTTCACACACGCACTCAGCCTGCTCATTCTCCAGCCCTGGGGGATCGAAGAGGAACACACTTGTGTCACAGAGTGATGAAGAGCAGGACGCACAGGACGCTGTTTGTGTTCATCACACAGTGAAAACCTTCACATACAAGATCTGTTACTGAGCGCTGCACTGTTCGGATCTCCAGACTTTGAAAGGCGCGAGCGATGTGGACAGATGTGCTGCTGATCCAGATCTGAATCATCAAGGTGAGCGAGCACTGTCAGTCTGATTGGCTGTTTTGGGGGTCTGAACTCATTTCTGTTATTACGCATTATGCAAAACCAGATGTATAAGCACAGAGCCGCACAGAGGCGCGTTTATCTCAGAGAGAAAGAGAAAGAGAGAGAGAGGCTCCTCTCACGCTGTGAGGTTATTTTAGTTACACACTGACACTTCTGTTAGTGTGCGTTTGTGTATTTTCCGTAAGCTCGCCTCTTCTTTACACCCAACGTGGTGCGATGCTGACAAATCGGTTTTGAAAGCTTCTCTAAGCTGTTTTGATCTTAAACGAATGTTCACCCTCCCAAAAACCCAGTCATCATTTACTCACCTTCGTTACTATTTCAAACAAGTATGCTTTGTTTCTTCTATGGAACATCTTCTTTCATACAATGAAAGTCAATGGGGTCCAAAACATATTTTTCTTTCTGCAGAAGAAAGAAATCCACACAGGTTCGGAAAGGTGAATAAATTATGATAAAAACTTTGTGAACCAGCAATTTAAGCATTAACCGTACAATTGTTTTCCTGTCAGGTCTATGTTATGTCGCCTATGTTAGTGTGGATTACAAAGTGTGCATCAGGGGGTTGATATAGATCAATGATGATTCTGAAAGAAAACTCACAGGGAGCATGCTGTTGCCATTCATGCACATCTGATTGACAGATAAGCCACACACTCTTATTTTAGCGACACAGGTTCGGAAAGGTGAATAAATGATGATAAAAACTTTGTGAACCAGCAATTTAAGCATTAACCGTACAATTGTTTTCCTGTCAAGTCTATGTTATGTCGCCTATGTTAGTGTGGATTACAAAGTGTGCATCAGGGGGTTGATATAGATCAATGATGATTCTGAAAGAAAACTCACAGGGAGCATGCTGTTGCCATTCATGCACATCTGATTGACAGATAAGCCACACACTCTTATTTTAGCGTTGTGGGCAGTTTGCTTCGTACATTCAGTTTAACAGCTTTAAGTGAAAGAGGTCAAACTTTATCATTCATGCTGTAAATGCTTGTCTTTGAATGAGCAAGGTATTTACTTCAACTAGTCAGGTGATATCGACCCATTTCAGAGGCAGTCAAAATTACAATTTAAAGGGGTCATATGATGCGATTTCAAGTTTTCCTTTCTCTTTGGAGTGTTACAAGCTCTTGGTGCATAAAGAAGATCTGTAAAGTTGCAAAGACTAAAGTCTCAAATCCAAAGAGATATATTCTTTATAAAAGTTAAGAGTCAGCCACGCCTACCTAAAACGGCTCGTTCTAACACGCCCCCACACTGTAAACCCGAACAGTACGTATTTGAAAAATAATGTGTTTTTTGAACATTAAAGCATGTCAACATATTCTGTTACACCAAATACACCAAATAATGATCTTTAAAAAAGCATCATATGACCCCTTTAAAATCAGTCAGAGCTATAGAAATGTATCTTCATATTTATTTACAAGTAAAACCCCCAGCCCCATATTTCGCACTCTGTTTATGACCTCAAAACACTGTTACCATTGCGCTTGATTTGTAAACTAATGCATTGTGAAGTTTGTGTCACATAACCAGTTCCATATGTCTGGCTTTTCTGGTGTAGTAAACTTGCTTGGTAGCGCACCCGGTACAGTGTTGCACATGTTCCCGCAAAACATGAGTCATAATAAAACATTTCAGTGACTTGTAGAAGCAAGCTGGAATGGCATGTTTGCTTGAGCAAATGTGTTTTTTTTTTATCCCAGGCTTGCTCTTGTTAATACTATTGTCAGGTTTATGGCAGGTTTAGTGTAGGAACACTTTTAAAAATAAAGGTGCTTAAAAGGTTCTTCACAGCGATGCCATAGAAGAACCATTTTTGGTTCCACAAAGAACCATTGAGTCAAAGGTTCTTTAAAGAACCATGTCTGTCTTACCTTTTTATAATCTGAAGAACTTTCTTTCGCCACAAAGAACCTTTTGTGAAACAGAAAGGTTCTTCAGATGTTTATGGAAGCATTTAGCCAAAAAAAGCTTCTGCTATGGCATCGTGAAGCACCTTTATTTTTAAGAGTGTACATTATATATTTTTTTTAAATGATAGAGAATTAAGCTTCATTCACTGGATATTTCATTTCTGAACTACCACAATATGTACAACAACCAGCGTAATAAAACGTTGCTATATTCACGTGGTGCCACCCAATAGATATTTCACTTTGAGCGTGTTCTGAAACATGCAAGAAGCAATTAGGAAGCAATAATTTTTTGCAGAAATGTCGGCACAGGCACGTTTTTCCAATAAGCCTGAGCTGGAATAATCATCGGTAGCTAAAGCAGCCTCACTGGCAGTCTGATGAGTTATTAGCTCTAAACAGAGCAATAAACAAGGATTATTTAGCTACAGAGAAATAAAATGCTGACCTGGGGAAAATCAATCCCACAGCCTAGACACGGAGAAGCAAATAGATCAAAGAGCCAAAGAGATGCAGAGACAGTGAGAGAAAATGAAGTTCACTAATAAAGACTTAAAAGGAATGGTTTTGTAACAAAAGGATTTTGTTGGGCATGGAATATGCAGTATAAATGAACCTGCTATTGAGAAACGCACATATTTGTCTCTGTCGGACTACAGTAAGAGTCAGACACAGAAGACAGCAGCATATGGAGGTGAAAGCTGGATTAAGCTCACGATTCAAAAAAGGAATGCCGCAGAGCTTTTTTTAGAAGAAAGATATGCAGAGAGGAGGTTTTCAAGACGTGACTCATCAGGAGGACTGATGAAATCGTGTTATGTTTCACAGGAGAAAGATGTCTGCGAATTTCCAGTCTGTCAGGGTCTCTCTTTTTATATTGGTTCAAGGCAGTGCGGATCAGCTGAGATTCTAGCACAATTAAGGCAGTGTCTCACTAGACGACTTGAAACAGCTTGATGGGGGCGTTTCACCTGCAGACTGTTTTTGCTGAAACCTCGTCCTCTTCTGTCAGGGGTCTGTCACATTCCCTTCATTAAGAGTGGACGATTTCCACAACACACACACATATACAGTACACACACTGGTTTGCAATGCAAATAGTTTTACTGTTTACTGCGCTTTTTTGGGGGAAAAAGATGTTTCATTTAACACACTTTTTAAAAGAAAGTTCTGTTTATAGAAATATTGTACTTTACAATAATATATACTTAAGTGCAAATGCAATGTTTTCAGACACTTGTTAATTGCAATTAAATGAAAATGTATTATAGTTTAAATTTGTAGTAAATGCAATTAGTTGAACGTTAGAGTGATTTTTTGACTTACATATGACTACTTATTTTTATATGTAATTTAATAATTACTGCAAGTGTCTTTGAAATATTGTTAAAGTACTGCCGAATGCACTGGCAAGCATTTATAATGAACTGAAATATACTTTAATGTAATTTCTATTATTGAAACTTTTGTAATTACACATTTGTAAAAATGAAGTTGCAGTTTAGTACATGTAAAATACAATTTACTGTAGATGTAATATTGATTATGGTTAGGTCCAGTCCTTGGTTCTGATTGGTCAGCAGCTGTGTTTTATTCACGGTAAAGCACGGCTATGACCGCTTCACCCAACAGTTCTGTGTATCACTGCGCAACACCCTTACCAACATAAGCAATCAATATAGTGTCAAAACTACTCCATGTATTATGTATTTCAGCAAAATCAACTGTTCATTATTTATGTAATGAATTATGAGTTAACCCTGCTGGCTTTATGTTGCATCATTCACCTTTAATTTTGAGGCCACGCCCTTCCCCAGTCAAAGAAAGTCTTCTAATGTATGTGTGTGAGAAAATATCATATATGGTGTTAAAAAAAATGAAATGACAAAGTCATTAAGAACGGTTCCTATTGTCTGTTTTTATTCGAGCTCCAAGATGATTCTCTTGGCATTTACTGTCAGGAACTGTTTTTTTTTTTAGTGGAAGGACAACATTTTAGGAATGAACTTCAAAAATTTAACACATCAATACATTTATTTTTGGTTTTAATATTTGTATTGTGTGGTAACCATTTAAAAAATGAAAAGGGTACTCAAGGCATGCTGTATTGTGAATAAGTCACAGCTGAAGGGCGTTGTTATAGGCACAAAGTAATTCACTGTACAGCACGCCTTGAGTACTTTATTGCTTACATAACTTGCTTTAGTATGTTAATCAACACATCAAAATAAGTGTAGTTATTTAAAGCACAGCATTATTAAAATTTATAAAATTATTTAAAAGTGTACTTAAGTGTGTTAAGAAACATGAAAGTGTCTTTCTTTAAGTACATTTAAGTGACCTTTTTTCATTAATATTATATTATCTGCAAGTACAGTTTTTAAAAAAAATACTTTTAAGATGAAGTACACTACAAGTGCACATTCAGTGCAATTAAGTGCACTTCTTGTTCACAAGGGCACCTGTAGTGCATATAATGAATCAGATTTCTCATTCACAAGAAATAGCTTACTTTTGCATTCAGAAATACGGTGTATAAGATTTTGGTCACATTGCCCACCTCTAAATATTTATACTGCTAGAAAGTTATTCTGTAATTCTTTAAGTCTTGTTTGCATCAAATAGTTTCAAAAGCGACAACAGCTTGGTAACCTCACGAGGAAAACATGACTGCTGCATGAAGTGAAAATATGTCATCTGAATTTCGTGTTCTGTTCTGAAGCGTCTGTTATGGGGATCACCTTTTGTCAGACTATGCTCAGGAAATGAGGTCTACACGGAGACGCAGTTATGCAAACTCTCACACACATGCACACGGACGTTTGCATGCATGCAACACACACACACAGACGTACCACAGTATTAGCAAATAACTGATGCAGTACCAGTCTGCATGCAGTTACAGAAAGCTTCATGCATATCACTCGCAGACACACGGACATGCAAATATTTCTCTAATCTCAATGATATAAGGCTGTACAGAGTACTGTCTGACTCTGACATAAACGTTGTAAAAACACAGGAAACGCAGCATGACCC